AGAAATTATATAGAAAAAATAAAAGATGCTAAAGGAAATATGTTGCATTCAAATAAAGATATCATCAAAGCCTTCACAGAATATTACAGGAAACTGTATAATATAAGTCCCCTGGAAGGAGTAGAAAACATACAAAGTGAGAAAATCAAAAAAGAAAGAAATATCTGGAAATGGCAGGGTTACTAAAACTAAGTGAGGACCAACTGAACTCCCTAGATGTAGATATCTCACAGGAGGAAATAAAATTAGCTCTGAAGGGGTCAGTGTCGGGGAAAAGCCCAGGGCCAGACGGATATACAGCCAGATATTATAAAAAATTTAGTGAAATTTTAATACCAAAACTTAGAAATTATATGAACGCTCTAGGTGGAGAGATGGAAATAAGAAGAGAATCATTACAAGCCCAAGTAGTGCTCATACAAAAAGAGGGAAAAGATCCCTCACAGTGTTCGAGCTATAGACCTATTTCATTATTGAACACCGATATCAAGATATATGCAAAAGTCCTAGCAAATAGATTGAAAGAGCTAATGCCAGAATGGATACAAGAGGATCAGGTGGGTTTTGTCCCAGGGAGGGAGGGAAAAGACAATGGGTTAAGATCATTGATGTTAATCCAAAAGAGCAAAAAGGGAAAAGAACCGGTGGTGTTACTCTCTATAGATGCTGAAAAAGCGTTCGACAGAGTGAATTGGAGATTCATGACAGATACTCTGGAAGCCTTAGGTATTGGGCCTAGGATGAGAGAGTGGATAGGGAAGTTGTACAGATACCCTTCTATGGTCATTGCGGTAAATGGGGAGAGTTCAGAACCCATTGAGATGTCAAATGGAACAAGACAGGGATGCCCATTGTCCCCTTTGTTGTATGTTATATCATTAGAACCATTGTTGTCAACAATAAGGCTGAATAGAGATGTAAAGGGAATCCTGATAGGAGACACAGAACATAAAGTTGCTGCTTTCGCAGACGACTTGCTGTTCTATGTGGGAAATCCCAGGATAACACTTCCAAACTTAATGAAATTATTAAAGGAATATGGAGAACTATCAAACTTAAAGATAAACCCAACAAAAACGGAGATTCTAAATATAAACATCTTAAAAAGTGAAAAAGAAAAAATACAAAAGGAATTCCCATTTAAATGGAAAGACAGAGATATAAAATATCTAGGAGTAAAGCTTACAGCCTCATATAAACATCTATATAAATTAAACTATATTTCGTTGATAAATGAGATTAGAGACGAGTTAAAAAGATTGGAGGGAGGAACCCCGACATGGATGGGCCGTATTAATCTGGTAAAAATGATAATAGTACCAAAAATCATATATAGATATCAAATGATCCCAATTAAACTCCCAGAGATTTTTTTTTTAAAATAATTAAGAAACTGATAACAAAATACATATGGAGGAATAAAAAAAACCAAGACTGTCATACGAACTGTTGAGTAGGAGGAAAGAAAGAGGGGGTTTAGGGCTCCCAGACTTTAAAAGATATTACAAAGCGGTAATATTGGCAAGAACTATAGATTGGATATATAATTATAAAAAAAGTTGGGTGAGAATAGAGAATGAACTCAGTGGAATAGACCTGGGAAGAATGATATGGGTGCCAACACAGTATAGAGGTTTAAACGACAATGTAAATACATACACTTTAAATGTACTAAAGGTTTGGGATAATTTACACAAAAGTATGAAATGGACTTTTAATTCAACACTGATTCCACTAAAAAACACAGAGTTTTTCCCCCCAGGCAGAGAAGAAATAGGTGGGAGGTGGTTTAAAAAAGACAGGGTGCAATTGAGAGATATTCTGGTGGGAGATGAAATAGGATCATTTGGTGATTTGAAGAAAAAAGAGGGTGAGATCTTCACTAAACTAGATGAATTGCGGTATTTTCAATTGAGGTGTTTTGTCGGAAGTTTGCCAAAGCCTTTAAGGACAAAAGAAAATTGGAATCTGTTCGAAAAGGTATTGGGAACACAAGGTGATGGGAAACACGGGATTACTAAAGTTTACAAAATACTCACTGAATTAGACACATACACAAAGCCAACATATATAACAAAATGGGAAATGGATATGGGAGTTGTGATAGATGAGGAAAAGCAGAGGAGAATGTATAGATTAATTCACGAGAACGTCTCTATGAGAGAGGTAGAGATGAACTATAAGTGTTTGACGAGATGGCACATCACACCAAATGTTGAAAATAAGATATGTGGGGAGAGTTCACCACTGTGTTGGAGGGGATGTGGAGAGGTAGGCACTACATACCATATATGGTGGGGATGCCCTAAAATCCAGTTATTCTGGAAAACAGTAATCCACTTGATAGGAAAATTGACAGAAATAGATATAGAACTAGACCCAGAAGTATGTATTTTGCATAACATGGATATAACTGTAAATAAATACAAAAAATCAGGGATATGGTACTATATTAATGCTGCAAAAGCTCTGATACCCAAGTTCTGGCGTCAAACAGAGATACCGAAGGAAGAGGACTGGATTGAAAGAGTTGAGCAGATCAAAAAGATGGAAAGGTTGAGTCATATCCAAGAAGATAGGTTGGAGGCCTATTATGGGAAATGGGGAGAACTGGGAAAAAGCTAGATTATACAGGAAGTATAGGAAAGAATAAAAGATAACAACAGAAAAATTTCACTTGCTGATGTAAGAAGATGCAGAGAAAAGGTAGGATAGGCAGAGGGGACTTGGGGTGGGGGGCGGTGTTGGGAGGGAAATGTTGTATAGAGTAAATAAAGTAGAAATGTTGGATAATATAATTTTATAGAATATATTTTTTTTATATATATATATATATCTACAATGTGTTGATGAAATGTTTTTATTGTTCACTTTTATATAGCACAGCACTTTTTATATATAGACAATTCCTCCCATTCGAGTATATGGTAACACTCTGTAAGCTTGCCTGTAGTTTTTACAGTGGGTTTATGGTGTATTTATAGAGTTTGACAGGTGTTTTTTTTTTTTTTTAGAGTGAGGTGGAAAAAAAAAAAACTCCCCCCTTAATAAAAATATATCTCTTGGGTGTCTGGGGTACATTAAATGCAAGTTAAACGCATCAAAAATGAATGCTATAGGCACACTGGTTCGCATTAGTGTCAGCATTATAATTTTTAGCAAGTATGAGCCTAGAACTACTAGTTTGCCGCAGCACGCTGTTATTTTTCAGTGCAATGAACTGTACAAAAAATAGGTCGTTACCTATGCTAAAAATGTAGAAGTGAGGAGCACCAGAACACGTATACAAGGTTTGCCTCGGAACTGTGCAGTATCCAGTAGCAAATTATTCATTAGAATTCTATTTGCTATAGTCATATCAGTGAGAGACTAGATTAAGATTTTTGTGCACAGCAGATTGTGAGCACAATGTCTGACTCCTGCACAGTCTTCCTATAGCTTTGAGCAAGTATCCCTGTACTGGCTTTGAGTTACAAAGCTAGAGGAAAAATGAATGCACTACGATCTTGCTAAGCAACACATTCACAGCCCACAGTGGTAGACAGTACTTGTAGTTTTTTTCATTCACAGAACTCTGTGAATGAATGATGCTGCTGTGTGGGTGGGGCCCCGCACAGCTGCTGTGTTCAAACAGTGACAGCGGCTGCAGGGAGAAGGTCCCCCTCCCGCTGTCACAGAGAACGGAGCGCTGGTGGCAGGTGCATAGGAGCATGTAACATGTTAAATCCTAAATATGTGTGTAACATGCTCCTAAAGGTGAATTTACCCTTTAAAAGCTTAGATGTGGTGGATGCATTATTTTTACTTCTTCAGGCTTTTTACCCTTTATTTTCACTTCTCAGTAACACACTTCCTATCTTAGGGTGACAATGCTTACTTATGGTACATTATTTATACAAGACAGTTGTTGTCAACCCAGGCTTCTGTCCTGATTTTTTGGACTACAAACATCTTCCCCTCTCCATAACATAGAAGTTTGAGAGCTGTTGTCCTCAGAGATAGCTGGAAACAATGTAACTGAAACCAGTACAGCAGAGGCAGAGAGCACAGGAAGTTATCAGCTCATAAGATTTCTGGCAGAATCAACAAGTATTTTTTTGCACTTACAGATATAACAAAATGCTTTCACCTGTGTATTTACCAGACCAAAAGGGACCATACAAGAGGAGTTCAATTTTAAGGTTTACAAACCTTTTAAAACATCACTTTTGCTTTATATACTGTATATATTTGGATTTGATATTTCTCATATACATGGCAAATTATTGCTGCAATGCTTTTGGAGAATATTGCACTATATTCAAAAATAAACAAGTGACAATTCAAATGTATAACAATGCCTTAATAATAAAATCATTGACATTGCTTTACTTTATTTTTTAAAATGTTTTAACACTCAAAAATTTGATCTGGCTTATATGTTAACCATCAAGGCTAAATACATATTTTTTGTAAGCAGTGAAAAATTACACAGAAAATATATGGCACAGTATTCACCCAATAAATCTTTAATCAAAGGCATACACCAATGCGATTTACAGTGAAAAAAAAACAATAAAAACATAATGACCCTTCTGCATCAGTGTATACAATCTGGCGCCAAACAGCTGACTATCTTATGGAAAAAAATATTTTGCTCCAAAGTCAAAGAACAAAGAGCCTTTTGGCACCACAATTTCAAATGTTAATTATTAAGCTTGATAAACATAATCTCTAATAAACTATTTACTTAAATAATTGCATGGTGCAAAAATGAGCTGCGGTTGCTTGGGGCAACCGTAAAGCATTTTGGCCCCGGGTATAGAAAAAACTTCTTTTTGCTACAATGCTTTCTGCATGTAGCTGTCTAAATTTCGTAAAGTGGAGAATAAACAATATTTTCAAGCTGTTTTTTTCTGCTTTTGTTGCCATTTTACGTCAACTATACATTATTATTATTGAAAAAGCCTTCAAAAGATTCTTGAAGGAGATACAATGTGTTTTCTGACACTGGACGTCCATTACATAGCTTCAAACTCATCGATTCTCTGTTTTGTGTTGCCCTGTCGGATTTGCCGCAACGTCTTGTACTTGTCGCGGCCAACTCGCATGTTCTCTGTGTGCAGGATGTCGTTGTGAGTTTTCTTGGTATCATCTCGTGCTTGAGACAATTCACTTGTCAAAGCCTGGAATGAAGAAAGACAAAAACTTGTAGTTCACCTGAGTACTAAAAAAAAAACTTTGATAGCTAAAACACACTTTTGTGGTGTCATTTGTTTTGTAGTGTTACAACGCAGCACAACTCATGGTAACACAATACTATGCGTTGTGGTGTGCTGTGTCAGAAAAACTGCTGCATATCCATTTTTTGTCCACTGTAGAAGGGCTGCAAATGCACAAGAATGCATATACACATGATGTGACAAAACACGTTAAAACTTGTGCATTAACACACATGAACGGCAACATGTGAATGGTCCAACTGCCTTATTTAAACTTGAGTATTAAGAAGCTGTGTATCAAGAAACTGTATAGTTACAGCCCAAATTACAGAGTAAATTAATTCAGCTTGTGTACAGTGCTTTCTTGTGATTATCTATAGAAAATTTGAATTCTGAGAGGAAGCAACAAAATTAAGTGTGGGAAGCAGCAAAATAGGCAGTCACAATAGAAAGACTATATATTTCCTCAAACCATTAACCCTCTGACTATACCTAAAGTAGCACCTTTTAGGCATAAGGAGTACATAAACACTGTGCATATTGTAATCTCACCAATAGCTGCTTCTGTACACGTTCATTTTTCTCTGCTTCTGTAATGCGTGACTCCTCTTTGCGGTCATCGTGAAAGTTGTAATGTGTGAAATCTGCACTGAACTCCTCTCCATCCTCGGCAGGTGCTCATTCACGTACTCCTTGATGGGCACATATGCAGGAGGAGGTGGTGGGGGGTGGCAATGGAGGAGTGCTCATGACTATTTGTAGCTCTTCCTTAGTTCTCAGGAGGTCATTCTGGGCTTTGTTTGCCTGGTTACCAAGAAAAGAAAAACATCATTAAAGTATACTTCTACCAAGCACACCTAATAAAAAATCATTTGAGACAGAAATACAGAAGTAAAGAAATTGCATATAACACTGTTCAACAGGTAAAAAGTTTTGGGCATAAAATTAGCTAATCTTACATAATTTTGGGGTGCTGAAAACGAAAATGACCCTAAAAAATGTTGATTGGCTCTAGTTTCCATGATATATTCACCCATCTAATGACGTAAGCCATTCAAAATTATGATGCAACTTCAGCTGCATATTGCGCAATTGATACTGGTGACCAATAGAAAATTGCATGTATACTGAGATGATGCAATATTAGCCTTTAATTGCATCACTTCACTGCATAAAAGCTGCAGTATCTGTAGCTGATTGTAGTTCGACAGCGTCTTTACATTTCGTTTTATGCTTATATAGGCTACTCAGTAATGCCTCGAACTTGTGTGAATAAAGCAGATAATTTCTGCTATATCTGCAGTGAAATAACTTTTATCTCACAAAAAAGGAGGATAACAGGAATGATTAAGAAACCCTACAACTTGTATTTTGGCTGCAAGATAGGAGACCAGGACAAGAGCTGGGCACCACATATATGCTGCAATTCTTGTGGGACGGCACTGGAGCAATGGTTGAATGGAAAAAAGGCATCTATGCCTTTTGCTGTGCCAATGATTTGGAGAGAGCCAACAGATCATGTTAGTAATTGTTACTTTTGTATGGCGCCTCCAATTGTAAAAGGGCTAAATAAGAATAAAAAGTTATCTGTGCACTATCCAAATATTCCATCGGCAATACGTCCAGTTCCTCATGGAGAGGGGCTACCAATTCCTAAAGCACCAGAATCCTTCGTGGTTGAGTCAAGTGAGGAAGAACCTGAAGCGTGTAGTCACGTGCAGTTGTAAGAGATAGCCCTTTCCTCGAATACAAGAGAAAAGCCAAGAGAAGCAAAACCGACACAAACTGAAGACAAAACTAGTGAGAATCCTAAGTATTAAAATGATTCAACTTAGCTTATGGCTATAATTTTTCTTGGTAATCCTATGCAATATATTATGCCATTTAGGCTTTGTTATGTAGTCAATATCACTTGCTTTATATTTGTGGAAAGACATCTATCTATATAATTATTGTGCATTATGTAGTCATTACGCCTATAGTAGAAAACTTTCCGTTTACAGAAAAACTAGAGCCAATTGACAAATTTCATTGTTATATTTGAACTCAGAATGTGAAATTCATTAAGAAATGGATCCTTTTGTTTCCAAAACTGGCAAAAAATAAAAATTTGTTGAACAGTGAATTGGTACAACAATCTATACAGTGGTACATCGCTTTACGAACACCTTGGTTAATGGAATTTTTGGTTTACGAATGAAAAACCATTGAAAATAATGCCTCAGTTTACAAATATTTTCTGCAATACGAAGCACGTTTCCCCAGGATGCATTGCGCCTGGGATGTTTATAGCACTGTGCATGCTGGAGTCTGTGGAAAGGTAGGGAGTGGAGCTTTGTCGTTTGCATGTCTCTTTTACTGTGTGTTTTGCATTGTGGGGTGGTTTCCATGCAAGCTCATGTGCTGTGTATGCCTGCTACTGTGTGTTTTGCATTGTGGGGTTGTTTCCATGCCAGCTCATATGTACAGATTTTTGGGGTTTCATTAGTTTGTGTAGATAGACTTGGGGCTCTTGGACTGAAGCATTGAGAGCCTGGGTGTGGGTGTAAAGCATTTTTTTTTTTATTTTCTGTTCACTTAGTGACTGTGGTGTCATGGCAGCCAAGAAAGCAGCAGAAGCTGGGAAGAGGAAGAAGGAGATGTTTCTGCTCGAGGTCAAGAAAAAAGTTGTCAGGAAGCATGAAGGAGGAATGTGATCGAATGACCTCGCCAAAGAGTATGGAAGGAGTTCATCCACAATCGGTAAAAATAATGAAGATCTCCTGCGCTACTATTACGTGATAAATTAGGTGAGTGGGAGCTGCTAGCACCTAACCATATACCATGTGGAAATAAAAACTAACGAAACCAAAATGATGCAGCGCTACCCTAAAAGTATAATAATACAATATGGCAAAAACAAAGTGACATAAATATATGTATGTGACAAAAAAAAAAAAAAAAAAAAAAAAAAAAAAATCAGTGGATTGAGCCTCTCTGGGGATCTCACTATAAAGTGACATAAAAATATATATATATATGTGCCAATAAATCAGTGAATTGATACTCTCTGGGATCTCTAGTGAAAAAGTGATCACACCTGGTATAAAAAAACAGGAACCAATACCCCTACTATCCAAAATAGGATCATACACAAAAGACAATAAAAAACAAATAAGTGTGAATCCCTAAATAGGGATCAATAAATTCATGCAAATGATGGTGAACATGAACCCCTAACAGGGATCAACAATATCATGCAGATTGTGACAAATAATGGCTAAATTAAGCCATATTAAAAGTAAATAGTGACATAAAATTGATCCCTAAATGTGGGATCAATTAAATACAATAGTGCCAAAAAGCACATACAAAAAGTATATTTATGAGCATACACATCAAAAAAATAAGTGAACATATAATAGTCCGTAAACAAAAAAAAAAAAAAAAGAAAAATGAAATAAATAAATAAAAAAAAAACAAGTCCAAATAGGTGCATTTAGACCAAAAACTTTCCAATTACTCCTAAGTGCAGGTGATATTGTGGATGTGCATCACCACCAATAGAAATAATCCGTATGTGGCTAAAATGCCCCCTCACCTCCTTGATGCGACCCTCAAAAGGGCCAAAACGCTTTTGTTATTTGAAGCCAGGAATCTTCACTGGTAATGGACACCGGCTCAGATAGAGGATATCCCCTCACTAGGAACAGCCAGGTCTCCTCCAGTATAAAGCAGCCAGCCACCAACTCACAAATAGGATAAACATAAAAAGAAACCTCCCATAGTGTAAATCCATTTTAATAGGGACTCTAAAATCACAGCACAGCCAAATGCCCACTCACATTTAGTAAGATTATAACAAGCTTTTCAAAAGACCTTATGCTAAAGGTGTACTTGCATGGGAACTCATTGGGTGCAGCAAGATGGCGTCCGCGCCAAAAGTACGTCACCACGCTCGCGCCCTACGCGTTACTTCACGCTATCACGTGACTTTATCAAGGCAAAGGATATGGGTGACATGAGGACATTATATAGGAGAGACGAATGTCAAACAGTGGACCACAATCGGTACCATCCTAAAGATGAAAGAAGATAACTGGGAGAGATGCAGCCAAGGGAGTCACCAGGGTCTCCAAGCAACGGCCACCTGTTCTGGAGGAGGGTGAAAAGTTGCTCCTGCTCTGGACTGAAGAGAAGCAGCGTGCAGGGGACACAGTGACCGAGGCGATCATCTGCGAAAAAGCAAAGTCCTTGACAACTGACCTCCTCGATCAACAGCCAGGAACATCAGCCTATGCAAAAGGTTCAAGAAAAGATCTGGCATCCACAGCGTGGTCAGGCATGGAGAGGCCGCAAATTCCGATGTTGCTACATCTGAGGAATTTGCTACTGAGTTCCTGGAGATCATGGACACACCCACACACACACAGGACAACTCAAAAAACAAATGAAAAACACACACACACACACACACACCCACACAGGACAACTCACAAAACAAACAACTCACACACACAAACACAGCAGGTCTTCAACTGTGACAAGACTGGGCTCTTCTGGAAGAGGATGCCAAGGTGTACCTTCGTCACAGAAGAGGAGACCTCATTGCCTGGCCACAAGCCGAAGAAGGACAGTCTCACCCTCCTGTTCTGCACCAATGCTAGTGGGAACCTTCAGATCAAACCCCTGCTCATCTACCACTCAGAGAACCCACAAGGTGAAGAAGGAGCAGTTGAGCGTTTTGTGGTGGTCCAACCCAAAGGTTTGGGTCACATGCCTCTTGTTTGTGCAGTGGGTCAATATGGTTCTTGGTTCTGCTGTCAAGCAGTACCTTGTGGACAACCTGCCGCTCAAGGCCGTGCTGCTCATGGACAATGCTCCTGCTCATGGACAATGCTCCTGCTCATCCTCCAGGCCTCGAGGAAGACTTGCTGGTGTACTTTAACTTCATCACAGTAGTGTTCCTTCCGTCTAACACCACCCCACTACTCCAGCCAATGGACCAGAAGGTCATCTCCAATTTTAAACAACTTTACACAAGGGAGCTTTTCCGGCGATGCTTTGAGTTGACAGATTGATCAAGCCTCACCCTCCATGAATTTTGGAGAGACCATTTTGACATTGTGAGCTGTCTGCAGATTATCACCATAGCCTGGGCCGGGGTCAGCCAGAGAATCCTAAATTCTGCTTGGCGCAACCTGTGGCCAGACTGTGTTGTGACACCTGACTCCAATGCTTCTGCACCTGCATCAGAGTCAACAGTGTTGGAGGAGATTGTTTCCTTGGGGAGGACCATGGGGCTGGAGGTGACTGAGGAGGATGTCTGCGAGCTGGAGGAAGGACACAACCGTGAGCTTACCACCGAGGACTTGGTGGAACTGCAAAAGGAGGCGATGGAGAAATGGATCTCATTTGAGGAGGAGGAAACGAGTGAGGAACAGATCTCTTCCAGTGAACTCAAGGAGGCATGCCAAATGTGGGTAAACCTACAGACATTTGTACAGCAGCACCACCCAGATAAGGCTCTAGCCCAGAGACTTGTGAACAGTTTTGACACCGACATCATGTCCCCTTTCTGAGGGATGCTTAAAAGGCGCCAGAGGCAGCAGACAATGGAAAGGTTCCTACTAAAACAGCCTAGACATGTAGAAGAATCTGCTTATGTCAGTGTTGCCCTGCTGCTCTTCCTCTTCCAAAAAGTGTTGAAATTATTTTGAAAAGTTTGCCATGTTCTAAAAGTTGAGGTGTGATGCTTTAAAAGTTGAAGTTGGATGTTTGAAATGTTATTGCTTGATTAATCCCGTCCCTGTACAGTATTTATGCCTTTAAAGTGCACTTTATAAAGAGTTTTGAACAGATAAAAGACTTTTTTTTTACTTTTTTCTGACCTCAGGAATGGATTAATTGGCTTTCAATGCATTCCTATGGGAAACTGCATTTCAAAACTGCTATACGAAAAGTCCCTCAGAATGAATTTAATTCGTAAACCGAGGTATTACTGTATTTGTCGCTATATAAAAAAAGCTAGAGACTTTTCACAGATGAAAACACATGCCAAGATGCATAAAGATATATAGAAAAACTACTATGGCATGTACATATATACTGCCTATAGCAACCACAGTTCCTTAGTGAAATAAGATTGCAAAGGCAATAAGAATAATGTGCAGAATCTCTTAAATGACTAGACTGCTGTTAAGGCTCGGTTCAAACTATTGTGGGATGTGCGGCACGCGTTTGCTCAGGCTCGGCAGCCCATTCAATTGACTGGGCTACTGTGCCCGCGTTTCCTGCACAAAAAAGACGCATGCACCTTTTTTTGAAAACGCACCCACATTCTCGCATGGGCAGCATGATTTGGTTTCAGGTTGCAATAGATTCAGTTCTTGCACCCCCAACCAGCCCTCATAGTGTGAACCAGGGCTAATGGTTTATTGCACTTTCACATTCTAATTGAAGCAGTTAAGCCCACCTTCAGACACTTGAAGATGAGGCAGAATTAATTGATCTTAAATCAACATCAGTAGTTTCAAAGCTTATCCTAAAAGGCCAAACAATAGGTATGTTTTCTACAGCCATGTGGAGCAGATTTGTGTAAACATTTGTTAAAATTCATTAAAATGACTACCAGGGGGTCATATTACCAATGTGTATAAGGCAAGTCATGTAAAAATGTTGTGCTTTAATTTTTTAGAAACATATGTAAGTATAATAAATGTTTAAAACTTGGTATAATTACCAAATAATCAGGTAAAACAGTGCAGACTACAGAAGAGTAAACATCTAAATAAGGGCAAGGTATTATCATTACTATACAGGGTTTTATTATAAGAAAGAACAGATACATGAATTTAAAACCATTTCTTAGAAATATTCACTAAGAGTTAAAAGAAAGTGAGTACATACCCTTAACTGCCATTCGCCCACCTCATCTTCTTTGGCTCTCTTTGCTTCCTCCAGGAGGGTAATTCTATTTGTATACACTGCAAGCTCTGAGGCCTATAGGAGAAATACAAATGTGTGAGGAAAGCTGTGTGTTAGGACAGATACAGATTTTTTTCATAATACGAACACATACATTCACAAACACTATCCACAACCTATAGGTTCATATACTGAAAGACATGTGAAAAACAGAAAATTACAACCTGAGTCAGGATCTTTTTTGTGTCCTCATATTCCCGGGATTGTAAAATCATGTACTGTTATTTCGCAGGACCCCAGAACAATGACGACACGGGCCCCACTACAGAACAAGCATGCACTCCATGGCAGCAAATACTCATAGTGCCCTATAGATGGCAGCAAATTCTCAAAATGCGAGGCTAGGTGGAGTAACCCTTCTAAAGAGAATATGAGGACATTGAGAACTCTGTAAGACCTTGTGTGTTTACAGGTAGGTTACCACTTGCCCTTCAGAAGATTTACCCCTCTTCCTGACCAGGCCATTTTTTGCATTGCGGCACTGCGTTACTTTAACTGACAATTGCGCGGTCATGCCACGCTGCAGCCAAATGAAGGTTATGTTCTTTTTTCCCCACAAATTTAGCTTTTTTTCAGTAGTATTTGATTGCCTGTGCGATTTTTATGTCTTGCGCTATAAAAAAAAACAAAGGCTGACAATTTTGAGGAAAAACACAATATTTTTGACTTTGCTATTAACCACTTCAAGTCCAGACACATCTACCCCCTTCCTGTCCAGGCCAATTTTCAGCTTTCAGTGCTATCACACTTTGAATGACAATTGTGCGGTCATGCGACACTGTACCTATATGAATTTTTTATAGCATTTTTTGATACAGATAAAAACTTTATTTTGGTGGCATTTATTCACCACTGGGATTTTTATTTTTTTTTTGCTATATAAATGAAAGTCCAAAAATTTTGAAAAAAGTGTTTTTCTTCTAAAATTTTGCAAATAAATAATATTTCTTCAGAAATCTTGGCCAAAATTTATTCAGTTATCTTTTTAGCAAAAAAAAAAAAATAACCCAAATTAATTAATTATAACCAAACATTTATTATTTTTCTAATTTTTTTTTTTAATTTTTATTTTTTTATATATACTATTTGTTTTGTCTTTTTACATACCATCACCATAGAAGTACAGTGTCACAATAGTGTGGGGGGTGATGAAGATTTTTTTTTTTTTTTTTACACTGATTGCTTTTACACCCATAAAGGCTGTAAAAGCAATCATTTCTCCTCTCTGGCTGCATTCTTGCAGCCATTGAGAAATACTGTGTGAGCTGTGATTGGTCACAGCTTGCCACATGGTACAAGGCTGTTGTGATCATTCACAAAGTTCACAGGTAGTAAGCAATGATGTCAGAAGTGACATCTTGCTTACTACTCTGCATGTGATCACTGATTGGCCAATCAGTGATCATATGATTGGGATCCCGTACAACGATCGGTGTTCCACTGTGTCCGGAGGACACAGCAGGCACCAAATTGCGGTGTTGCGTGCTCCCAGGGAGCATGCACAAGCAGGGGGCGGGGAGGGCAGTTTATAAACGACCACCCGCCCCTGCACTGCTCCCGTCCGGCCTTTATATACATGGGCGGGCGGGAAGTGGTTAAACATATCCAGTAAAAAAATTTAAAAAAATCTCATTTCCTTATATATTTAGGCCAAAATGTATTCTGCTACATGTCCGTGCAAAAAAAAAATCCCAATACGTGTAAATTAATTGGTTTACATGAAAGTTTATAGCGATTACAAATGGCGATATAGATACTGGAATTTTTATTTTTTTATTTTTACTAGTAATAGCGGCAATCAGCAACTTATAGCGGGACTGCGGCAGGCATTCTGACACTGGGTGGGAACTGACTTGGTGTCACTGACATCCCCAATGACACCAATACAGTGATCAGTGCTTAAAAAAAAGCACTGACACTGTACTAATGACTGGGCAGGAAGGGGTTAACATGAGGGGCGATCAAAGGGTTAACTGTGTGCTGTTTTACTATGTGCTGTGTGTTTGTGCTTCACTGTAAGCACACTGCTTTGGATGGCTGTGCATGAGCTGACAGGGAGGAGAACGGTTTTGTTTACAAACAGTCCCCCCCCCCCCCCCCCCATTGAAGATGCTCGGCAATCACCGGGCATATACGTGATTTTGCATACCCGTGCCGCACTGTATCAGTATTTCCGCTATAGGGCGGATGGGAAGCAGTTAAGAGCTACAAAGAACAACAGAACTGAACAAGAAGCATACAGAAACTAGGGTCTCACCAGCTGCTCCTGGCTCTTCATCTGATCAACAGCTTGTCTCTCCAGCTCTTCTTTGGCACGGAGAGCAGCAATACGTTCAGCCTCCAATCTTTCTGCTTCGCACTGAGCTCTTTCCCTCTCTTCCTCCAGCTCATGGGCTTTTTTTATCTGTTCAGATAATTCTGTTTAAAAGAAGTACAAACTGTATTGGTAAGGATGTTTATCAATGTACACTACAAACATGAGAAAGAATTTTGCGATAGACTGAGCCAATTTTACAGGTTATACAACAGATAACCCCAAGCAGCTACAGTATTTGTAGTCCCTGGAGTCCAGTGCTGCCTTTTCACAGCCAGTTCTCACTGCTGTGGGTCCCTGGCACCACCATCCTGGATATGGAAGCCAGCTGTGATTTTCTGAGGAACCACAGCCAGGAACCCACTGTGCATGCACAAGATGACATGGCACAGTGAGACTGGTCTCTCAGCCTCCTGATGTTTCCCTGAGGGCTTCAGGCAGGGATAAGGCATCCTTCTTGTCTAGGTGAGAATTGAGGAAGTGGGGGTGGGTACCTATCAAAAAAGAACCTGCTCCCACTAAAAAAACAAAAAACAAACCCTAAGTGTGTTAGGGGGGTGGTGGTGGGGAGGCTGATTAGCGAGCAACACTTTCACTTTTGAGTTAAGGTCTCTTCTTTAATGATACCAGTGAATCGTCTCCAGAAATAATTTAGGACAGTAAAGGACAAGGCCACACATTGCAGTGGGACTGTCCTTTGAGCATCTTTTAAATAACATGTTCCACTGCTTATCAGTAAGCAACTAGCCCCAAAGTGAGACAAGGCTTCACATACTTACAATACTGGTATTAATGAAGGTTGTAGGCAGCTGGAGGTGATGAAGGCAAAACAGTGAAAAATATCAGATGATATATGATGTGTTTAAAATCAGCAATAGTAGCAGAAAGAAGGTGCTTATAAACTAAAAAGGCAGGGCAGGAGTGTGCATGCACAACATTCAACATAGTAGATGGTAGGAGCACTCAGTTTCCTCATACAAGACTGTAAAAAAAGGTGGGTGATTTAAAATGGCACCAAACAGTCAAAACTGTGAGGAAACTGACATTAGTGCAGCCCAATCAGCCATACTTATTAAATGGGTTGTAAAAGACTTGGTAACATTAATAAGCTGTACCATGGCTCTAGAACTGGAAAGCACTGTGCGGGTTACTAATACTTTACATGAAAGACTGAGAAGTGCTATAAGCTAAGAGTCTATTGCCCAAAGGTCACATATCAGGATATGTTGATCACAATGGAAGACTCACTCAGAGAGTAACACTTCAGAGATTGGATCACAACAAAAGCTGTGCCATAACTCTGGACCTGGAGTGACTAACTGGCAAAGTACACAAGAGTCTGAAAGGTGCAACAATGAAGATTGCAGTGTCTGAACACAGTATACTAGATTATTATCAGTGCCACATCCAAAGACTTAATCACACTGAGAGTCATCAGAGACAGTACCTTGGCCACATAAAAATGCAGAACCCAGTGCCCAAAGGTCACATTCCAGGCTGTTTTTGCCACAACCATAGGATTACTCACAGAATAGGCTTTAGAGACTCATAACATTAGAGGTTGTGCCATGGCTCTGGAGAACATTCTGTTACTAACTATCGCAATACACTAAGTGCTACAATGCTGAACCCAAGGCCACATTCCAGGCTAGCCCTGCAATCTTGGGTCCACGTAAAACCCCCAAAGCTAGTGTTGAGGATATGCCAATCTGGATAGCTGCATAAAAAGCCTAGCTCAGCAGCATGTAGATCAATCTTTGATTGAAGCAAAAACAATCCTGAAAAAAATTGACAGGTAAAAATGGTTAAACTATTCTCATTAGAGAATTGATGTTAATCCTCCTAGGACACTTACAAAAAACAAAAGCATAATGGCAGTGTGAGGAGTTATAACTGACTAGCCAACATTTGTTTTTGCCAATGTTCAAATCCTCCTGTAGATGGCAGTGTGATCCACCTGTCACTGCATAACTGAATCCTGTATCCCTTAATGGATGAGAAAAACATTTTGGCTGCACAAACACTTTAACAAGTGTTTAACATGTTGAAAATTGTTAAAAACAATGTTGCTTCTGGTAGAAAGCAAATGTCACAAAAATGCAAAGGCCGATAAACTAGAAGAATCTAACATTTACATAACTGAGGCAGTGCACACAAGAAAATATTGCTCTGAATGTACACATTTTATAGGATGAAGCCTTTAGTAAAAAAAACTTTATAATTATGCAACATGCAGTATATACATTTGAGGAAATGTTTGTTTTTGTTACAGTCTGTATAAGAAAATGAGGACTAACCAAAGAAAACAACTTTTATAGCATGAAGCATGATAAAGCCTGAAATAGAATGCGTGCATTACCTCTCTCTGCTCTCCTAGTCTTCTCTTCAAATTCATGCAACCTGAGCATTAGTTCTTCCTTTTCTCTTATCATCTGCTCCTTTTCTTTCTCGACCACTTCCCTCTTTTTCTTCTCATTTTCCAGTTGTTGCCTGTATAAAGCACAATGAAAATGAGACATTACTACCAGTATATACTATATTCATATACTATATTGCTACAGTAGAAGAAAAAACGCTTGTTTCAGGCTTCATGTACATAATCGTTCAGGGACCTTAAAAGCGGTAGTAAACTGCATTAAAAAAAAAAAAAAAAAAAAACACCCTGGCAAGGTAAAGGCATAATGTGGTATTATGCATTAAATACTACCACATTATGTAAAACTTACTTTAAAACAAAGCCCTCCAGCGGCGTGCTGTCACCGCTGTAGAGGCTTCTATCTTCACCCGGTCTTCCTTCTCGGTTCTTGAGCTCTGCCCATCTGACTGGCTGAGCCACAATGGCGTCATTCCCACGCATGTATATGGGAGTCTCAGGACACAGCACAGGACTCTGAAGGAACGGCACGGGTATGCCATTCCCTCAGAACGCATGCGTGGGCTCTATAAAAACCTGGATATCTCCTAAATGGTGCACGTTTAGGCGGTATTCATTTTACCTACAGGCATATTATAAGCTAACCTGTAGGTAAAAATACACTTAAGAGTTTACTACCAGTTTTAAAGTGTACACAGCCTGCATGATCACTCTCCCAGGACCCACAGCCACAATGTACAGCTGTCCATTGAGATGAATTAGAACATCTGCATGCACACACCATCTGCGCTCAGAGCATATGTCTGTGCAGGTACACAGGCTCGGCATGCTGTACGGCATCTGTACTGCCATATGGATAAAGCTTTATGCAACCACCGTTCACATTAATAAAATCATGTGAAGCAAGAACACAATAGTTATGGTCAGCAAGACTACTTTTAGGGTCTGTGTGTATGGACTTTCAGTTTGTGCCGATGGAATCAATTTAACATTTTTTGAGGATAAGCCAGCAAACAAAGGTCAGAGGAGAGAAGTTCCTCTTTAATCCCTAAATAAATAGCCTTTATTTTACTCTTTTTTGTAAGTAAAGCCTAGAATATTGTGGTGAAAAGGGGCTAAAAGAACCAAAAAATTAGAATATCTTGTTTATTATTTAAATTAAAAAACATTGTTCTATTTTTATGGGTTCTCTTTGCCTTTATGATATTCGACGGTTTGGAGAGCATGCCATTGGCTCTAACTTGTACCATAGGCACGGATTACAGAGACTCAATCCAACCCATCATAGATTTACCAAAATCAATGGCTTTTAAAGTGTGTTCAAGAAAAGTCCAGTCCACCCTCTCAAAAGCTTTTTCAGCGTCTGTGGAAAGGATGAAAGTAGGATTAGCCTTTGACAAAGCGGAGTGGATCACATTTAAGGCTCAAATTGTGCCATCTCTCACCTTTTTCCCGGACATAAATCCCACTTGGTCCAAATGTCTAATGTTCTGTAAATGTGGGATCAAACGGGTCGCTAAGATTTTGGTGAAGAGTTTGAGGTCTACATTTTGGAGAGATAAAGGCCTAAAGTTCGAGCACAAGGTGTGGTCTTTTCCTTGTTTGGGTATGACAGTAAGCTATGCTTTCAGTGTTTCAGGTCTAACATTACACTTTTGAGTGAGGGCATTGAACCCCTTTACAAAGTGTGGGGCCTATTGGGCATGAAAATGTTTACTCTTTGCCTTTATAATCAATAAAGATAAAATATGTTTTTGAAGAAAATACTGCAAAAGAAAGCTGTTTGTACCCTCAAACATTAGTACACGTTTCACTCTGGTGTCATGAAATGACAAAGTTATTGGCGAATTACAGCTGAAATGTAAAAACTACTCTGCTTCATGATGGGTAAACAGTTGTGAGGTTAAGTAAATATAGTTCTAAAAGAGCTACACTATTTCATCCTTGAAGAAATGCTCATACAAATACTTGTGGATATTGATGTTTGTGAAAATTGTTACACCTGTTTGACATGCTAAACCCTAGTTCACTTCCAGACATTGCTCTCTCTTATCAATAATACTTACTCTATCCGCCATTAGTGATTATTCAGACAAGCAATCAAGCTTGTCTTTCGCTTGCGATGCTGTCTGCTGTGTGTGAATCCACCTTTGAGCTGCGAGCAGACAACCCACAGAAGTGGATGCAGTTGCAGCAGCTACATGGATGCAGTCACATGCCAAAATTTGACATTTAACAGTGCAATCATAAATAAACCTCAATACTGAAAGACTAGGCAACAATGAAAATTTCACTGCTAATTTTCTGTAAGTTAACATGCTGTTTTCTGAGAATTTTTCTCTTAAAGTGGCAGTTAACCCAGAAACAAACATTTCTTATATTGCAGCGTACCAATTCTTAGATGTGATGGCTGCATTAGTTTTCTTTTTGAGGCTCTGCTTTTTATTTTTACAAGGTATTTTTCAACAGAACAAGCTGCCTTACAACTGTAGTAGTATAGGGTTCAGACAAACCATTTACCACTGGCAGGGTTTCTTACAATGGACAGCTTTTATGCATGTAAAACCTTTATCCTAAAAGGAACAAAACTGGTGCTGTAAATGCTTACAAAGTATTAGCTGGAGCTTGGCTTTACTTTTTTAGTGCTGCTAAATCTGCTAGTGCATTTAACACTACCCTCTCCCTGTACTGGCAATGCTGCTGTCCAAAGGCGTTTCTGTTGCTCCTTCATCCAGAGCGTAGGCACCCTAATACAGGAGGATGGAAACAGAGGGGAAAAAAACCTAAAAAAAGAAACTGATGCAGCCACCACATCTAATGATTGGTAAGTTGCAACATATTACATTTTTGATTTTGGGCTTATACCGCTTCAAATAGCCTTTATAGTATACATCCCAAATTCCCAACTAGGCATGGTTAATTAATATAAAACCTAGCCCAGTGAATGCTGACATTTGCCAAGTTAACCTTTTTACATATTTATATATATTTTTTCATAGTGCAGAGGTTTGTTTCTTATTTTAGCATAAACATGGTGGCCAAACCATAGGAAACATGAGACACAACCAACCATAAAATGACAAGTTCAGTAACCATAACATTATTTTATTTTCTGAGCGCTTTTTTTTTTACCGTTCAAGCTGCTTCTGATTTTTTTCTTCCTTGGCCTGTGCTTTCATTTGCTGCACCTCGATAGTATCTGGCTTCCTGCGACGCATGTACAGCTCATGGTTACCCATACACAACTGCAAGATCCGCTTATTAATCCTCAGGCGTGGAGCATAGAAGACAAAGTCCTATGTAAACAGAAAAAATAGTAAATACAGAGATTCCAGAACTTTCAAACAATATCTGAAAGATCAACCATGAAATTTCAACTAAAACCAGATTTTTTTTTTTGGATCAGTAGTGAATCAGAAGTATTAGATCCACTTTAAATATTGCAGCCTGTGTCCTTGCTGAGGAGTTTTGACCTTCCTGAAAGCAGTAAAAACATGAATGAGATTCTAACCATATTCTACTCCTTCTAAAACAAAGAAAATAGGAATTTCATATTTTGGAATATCGTGCATATAGTACACAGGATTTAATTCCTAGACCATGGGTTATATGTTGCTACCTTCAGGTGACTGGACACTGGAGAACCAATCTAACCTGTATAGTAAGGATATCCATTCCATAAAGAAATGTAAACTTAGATAATGTAGTCTGAACCCCCCACCCTCGGTAGATGCCTCAATGTATTCATCAAGAGAACTGCCAAAAAAGAAGTTCACCATCAAAGAACATGCGCAAAAGACACCTTTCCCGCACTTCATCTGTTGCACAAGCTTTGAACCACAGGATTCTCTGCATATGCACAGAAAGTAAAGACATACAGTTCCCAAAGTGGGCTCAATGAGCCATGAAGGCCATAAACAGTTGAATCTTGACAGAAGTATCAGTCATTGGAAGTAAAAAAAATCTGGTAAAAAAATAGGAAAATATTTATCTAAATCGAAAAGGCGTTTATCACATAAGGACACTGGCAACAGACTTAAGCTTCAAGTAATGGACAGGGTTATAAGGGAACGGATCCAGCAAAGCTTTTTGCCAGTGTGTAATTACCTTAAGATAGCAGAATATAACTCATGGTCTATAGGTTTATTCCCCTGTGTACAATAAAGATATGAGATTTTTGTACTCACTGTAAAGTCCTTTTCTTGGAGTCTATTGAGGGACCCAGGAATTCCCCTTTTTGTTATACTGCTGCCTACAAGAGGATTGGACACTGGCAAACAAAATAATTGTAGGTTAGCACACGATAACCCCTTCTACTGCCAGCATGCATCAGTCTTGTAGCAATTAGTACCAAGAGCATGATCTTTGCCACAAAGAGCTGGGTCCTGTGTTCCTCAATGGACTACAAGTAAGGATTTCATGGCGAGTACAAAAATCATATTTTCTTTCTCATCCATTGAGGGACATAGGAAGTCATTAAACGCTCAGGACATTCAAAAGCAATCCAACTAAGGGTGGGCAAGAAAAATAACCACTAATAAGCCCAATGTGAACAAGAGAAAATCAGGACTACCTGCAGCTCAAGAGAAGCAATGTCCAAAGGTGCCATTGGATAAGGCTGCACCCCTCTACCTAGTAAGAACATGAGAAAAAAAAAAACACCAAATGGTAGCCCTGTCCGACACCAGAAAACCAAAAAAAATATATAACTAGTGAGGAAAGTCTCAACATGGGATGGAGAACACCAAACTACAACCCATAAGCATGGATCCTGGTCTACCAAATCCAACCAGAAGTGTGGAAAGGAACAATTTCTCTACAGGAAAAGAAATCACAGTCTGAACAGTAGTCAACAAGGAGAAGAAACTCCTCTTTAAGAACTGGGATCAGACAGGGGAATCTGAGAACAATGTCCTGATGTAGGAAAGACCAGAGCTATTAGGGGAAGCCCTAAGCCTCAACTCCCCTGATCCTAAAAAGTTAAAAAAAAAGTTAAAAAAAAAAAAAAAAAAAAAAAAAGGGGGGGGGGGGGGGGAAACCAGGTCTGGAAAGGTTGTCAGGGCTGGCATTTATCTCCCTTAGGTGATATTTACCAAAGAAAAAATCCTTGAAGATGATTTACGTCAATGTACCTCCAAGGAGTGTAACAGTAACTCCTAAACCCTAATAGGGAACCAAGGTTCGATTGCATGAGTCAACATGACCAGTTAGAGGAAAGTACATGGGATTATTCAAGAATTAGGCAGGTAATAGAAGGGTAGATCTCACCAAAATATAGCAAAAAGAAATGCAGACTTGATAGAGATGAGCACGATCTGCAAAAAAAAAAATACCTCTCAGGCGAACCTGTAATGGAAAAATTGCTTACATTTTACGCCTATCCTGGAACCTCAAAGAGTCACAGGATTAGAAATGCTTCTCACTCCACAGATCCAAGGGTGCATCAGAGTCTGTGGAACAGTGATAAGGAGTCTTATCAGGAAGGCCAAGAACATCTGCCTGGGTAAATCCAAAGTGAAGATGATCACTAGAAATGCCTGTCTCTCAATGCAAATGAAACAAGGATGAAGACCTATACCGGTGTGTGCAGAAGCTGCAGAGTTAAGAGCATTCCATGCTACTGCCAGAGGGTTCCTGCATTAGGAAACTAGGTTGTTCAGCATGTGGGTGGCTCAGGGTATTATGATGCTGAATCTGTCATCTGTCCCTCATCAGCCCTGCACAGAGAATGAAGTGATCAAAGACCATGGTCGCTCAGTTCTCCTCCTCTGCTTTGAGCAGAGAACCAGGACTGTCAGCCTCTAGCTCTCTGTTTCACCCATCCAGCACTCACTGGAGCGCTGGGCTGTGGTGAGGATGGGAGGGGCTGGCTTAGGCTCTCAGCGGATTGCTGAGAGGCTGAGCCAAGTGCCGGTCCAGAGTTCTGGTCCGGCTCTGTGACATGTGCCTTGTTTTTTCTCATGCAAATGTACAATCCAAACGCACACGGTCCTGCGTTAAAAATGGCTGTGTGCTGTAGCGACCGTCAGCTGGAACTGAACAGAATCAGCAGGGGAGAATGTCACCAGTACACCAAGGGTCACCAATATGGGTCCAAAAGTTTTAATGAACAATTACATAGTTACAGCATGGCAACGTTTCGGAGTCTCGCAGGACCCCTTCACATGAGCTACTGAGCCTTCTCAAGCAGAGTGCTCTTAAGGACAACAAGCCCATAAGGAAGACAAGCCAAGATACTTCAGGCAGGACATTACAGTTGAAAGGTAAGCCTCCAGGCATCTGCACAAGCTTAGGAAAGGATCCACTGTCACAGTGAACAGATCCCTTTTGAATAATTTAAATCATTCTGCCACCATTTAGCAAACTAAGGTCATAGACAGAATAGGGTGAAGGGCAGGGACAGCCAGTGAGAACTGGGTTTTTAAGTGGAATTCTAACTGTTGGTTGATAGAATCTTTGAATGTAAGAATTCCCTCTACAGGCTATTGATTTCCTTTTTATAGTTGGTCAATAGCAGATCCACAGTGGATATAGGCCACAGTTTGATAAAACCCTTCCCAAACAAATTCAGTAAGTGCTCAGGGGTTGTCCAGGAACTATCAGAGTGTTTTCAATACCCATAGAAGAATACATCAAAGAATGTGAATGGGAATTGGAATGTAATGACAAGGTTAAACTTGAACAGCGGTTATAGTGAGAAGGCCTTTACAGCTGTAGAAGCTCTGAAAGACCCAAGTCCAGAAATAGGAGGGAGATCCTCAAGAATAGTATGCACTGTATCAATAAGCATTAAAACAATCTCTTTTAAATTTGTTGTTAGAGCAGAAGATCTAATCAACTACAGTCTAGTCAGGGAGAGACAGAGGTGACTCAGGTCCAGATTTAGAAATGGCTACTGTGATCAGTGACTCGGTTGCCTCAAAGGACATAGGCGGAACAGCAAAAAACTCTATGGGGGAGTATGGTTAAGCCCTCTGCAATCAGAACCAGTGAGGAACTGGGTGAATTTTGCTACAAAATCTTGTGTGCTGGTAGAGACCCTGCTGGATAGAACAAGGGACTTGGCCTCACTTGGTGGAGCTAAGAAGGATTCTGGTGGCAAATTAGACCCTATAATCATAGGGTAAAAGGATTCCAAATTGCAAATGTCAGTACACCACACAGTAGAAGGAGTGTGAACTGGGGTCCACTGTTGCAGCATGACTATTCCATCTGCATCTGGAAATAAACAAGTTGTGACCGTGTTGAGGTAAGGAAATTAAGCTAAGGGTAGAAGACACAGTCTCAGGTACTTACCAAAACCTTGAGGGTCAGATGGCTGGGGATGGCCAAAGTCACAGTAGGCAAGAAGAAATGACTGAGATTAGAGTAGCATGTGGCTCTGAAAAACTGAAGCAGCCATGGACAGATGCTTCCCTGATGCTGAATGGTAGGAAAGATAATGCAGAGCACAAAGAACTTTTTGGAAAGCAGGAATTTTAAATGCACACAATGATCCAAACAAGGTAATGCCCCATGCTAAGCCTACTAACAGAGTGAGTCTTCAGAAATCTGGCAAGCACTGAGATACTAGAGGATAGCGGCTCTGGACCCAGAAAGTGGCTGCAGCTCACTTGTTGCCAGAATGGGGACTGAAAATCACTGCAATGTGGAAACCAGTTCCCAAAGGTCACTGCCAGGATAACCCTGCAATGTTCAATCCAAAGGGGTTCAGTCACAACACTCCAAAACCCAGGCTGAGTATAGGCCGTGCTAGACAGCTACAAGTGTAAAGGCCAGTTCTAGCAGTGATGCAGGATCTTGAATGAAGAAAAAAATGGACAAATCCTGGAAAAAAAAGGTTGGATTTATTCCAGCAGAATTGAAGAAATATATGTCTATCCTCCTAGGACTCTAGGAGGCATGCTGACAGCAGGAGAGGTTATCCTAGGCTGCCTGCACTGTCCAACCTTCCTGCAAGGACCCTTGCACACGAGTATCATACATTACTGATGTTTACTCATGAACTTGTGATGCCCATGTGCAAGGGGCCAAAAACTGTGTGTATAGACCTGAGTAATGTTGAGTATAGAGAATAGGTGAACAAAGGTGTGGAAGGGAAATTCTTCTTCATTGCCAGTATTGTGGCCCCTTGTAAAAGATTACTAAATTATGACGCTCATGTGCAAGAGGTCTAAATTACTAAATATGTGAGTAAATTACTGAACTCAAATGGAAAATGTTTTATTTTACTGCTCTGTACTCAAAGCTATAGTACTGATCTTTACTCAACTGTGTGCATTGTCCCATAGACACCAATGGATCTTATTTCAGATCAGTAACAAAAACTCAGCAATTTTTACTCCCCTGTGCAACAGGCCTATGACTTCCCGCGTCTCTGGATGGAAGAGAAAATAAAGCTTTTGCTGGAGTTTGCCGTTATTGTCATTTTAAGCTAGGGAATTGAACCATACAACAAGTTTTCTATACAGGTTTTTCATGTTTCATTTTCTAAGTGCAGGTTACAAACAGAAACGGGAGCTGACCAGTTTCAAGAGAACTGAACCATATGACAAGTTCTCTCTACAGGTTTTTTTATGTTTTATTTTCTGAGTGCAGGTTACAGACGGAAACTTGACAGCTGACCAGTTACTTTTGGCAATGGTCATATTTACTTTTCTCCCATTTTATAAAACTGCCATTAAGAATGTGGTTATAACAGGCAAATATGGTGCCTGCACATAAATAGAATACATAAACTGTAATTGTATTACATTGTAGAAATCTGCCTGAAAATGCTTTCTTTGGTATTTATGAAGGGTATGTGTAGGATGGTGGAGAGGGCAGTGCGTACTGTATGTGTAGTATATCTCTAAGAATGTATGCCCTACAAAGGTTTCAGTAATTCCACATTTTTTTTCTCTCCCACGATACAAACAAACATTTTACAATCTTGTAAATGTGAATTATTATTAAGGCCTCTAGCACACAGTACTGATGTTTTTTTAAAATAAATTTCAGGCACTTGTTTTGTGTGCATTTGTGCGCGCAATATGTTCTTAGGGAAAATGTATTAATAATAATGTTCAAATGCACATATTTGAGTGAATTTTGAGCATATTCATGTGCAGGAGGCATAAATTACTGACCAAAAATACAGACTTTCCAATTTTTTTCTTACCGAGGAATACACAGCGCTTATTTGCTCTTTGCCTGTGTGCAAAGACACATTGTAAATAATAGGCTACATTTTACCTTATAAAATGCTGTACTGAGCTTTTTCAAGCTGCAGTGTGCAAGAGGCCTAAATAAGTAAAGATAACACCGCTGCCTATTACAAGCCCTTCATCAGAACAGAAAAGAGAATAGCATTTTAGAGGACATGACAGTGTATAGTGTGATGTGTGCTGTAGAAAAAAACTTCATGTCTTCTGTGATAATGTGCCCGTTCTGACTATGATTTAACATACACTGCTCAAAAAAATGAAAAGAACACTTTGAAAACACATCAGATCTCGATGGGGAAAAATATGCTGGATATCTATACTGATATGGACTGGGTAATGTGATAGGAACGTAAGGATGCTCATCGTTTGTAGGTTAATAATTTTCATTTCCATCAGAGGACGGAATTCAAAGACACCCCGAAAATCAAAGTGAAAAAATTAAGCAACAGGCTAGTCCATGTTGCTGAAATTTCATTGCAGCAACTCAAAATGGTACTCAGTAGTTTGTATGGCCCCCCCACGTGCTTGTATACATGTCTGACAACATCAGGGCATGCTCCTAATGAGATGACAGGTGGAGTCCTGGGTATTTCCTCCCAGATCTGGACCAGGGCATAACTGAGCTCCTGGACAGTCTGAGGTGCAACCTGGTGGCGTCGGATGGACCAAAACATGATATCCCAGAGGTGTTCTATTGGATTTAGGTTACGCGAGTGTGGCGGTCATTCAATGGTATCAATTCCTTCATCCTCCAGGAACTGGCTGCATACTCTCACCACATGAGGCTGGGCATTGTCGTGCACTAGGTGGAACCCGGGACCCACACTCCAGCCTAGGGTCTAACAATGGGTCCAAGGATTTCATCCCGATACCTAATGGCAGTCAGGGTGCCATTGTTTAGCCTGTAGAGGTTTGTGCGTCCCTCCATGGATATGCTTCCCTAAACCATCACTGACCCACCACCAAACCGGTCATGCTGAACGATGTTACAGGCAGCATAACATTCTCCAGGGCTTCTCCAGACCCTTTCACGTCTGTCACATGTGCTCAGGGTGAACCTGCTATTATCTGTGAAAAGCACAGGGCACCAGTGATGGAACTGCCAAATCCGGTGTTCAATGGCAAATGCCAATCCAGCTCTATAGTACCAGGCCATGAGTACAGGGCTCAATAGAGGATGTCGGACCCTCAGGCCACCCTCATGAAGTCTATTTCTGATTGTTTGGTTCAGAGACATTCATACCAGTGGCCTGCTGGAGGTCATTTTGTAGGGTTCTGGCAGTGCTCATCTTGTTCCTCCTTGCACAAAGAAGCAGATATCAGTCCTGCTGATGGGTTAAGGACCTTTTTCGGCCCTGTTCAACTCTCCTAGAGCAGCTGCCTGTCTCCTGGAATCTCCCTCCATGCTCTTGAGACTGTGCTGGGAGACACAGCAAACACCAGCTGAAACTGCTACTTAACTGAGCAGATCAATATCCCAGGAGTTTAATTGACTTGATACTATACTCTGATTAAAAAGTGTTCCTTTAATTTTTTTCAGCAGTGTATATTCTTCAAACCACCATACATGGTGCTGTAAGTGATACTGAAATACAATGTACTGGATGTGCCATATTCCAACTCCACCATTCTTTAAATTATGTGGTACGTGACACATTCTATACTGCTTAATTTGCAAATTACTCACACCACTTTGACTTCTGATTTATACCTTGTTCAATGTATGGGCACACTCTTGCTAGTAACAATGAGCCAACTGGATACTAATGAGCACCAGCCATTTAAACGGTGAATAGTAGATGAATAAAGGTAAAATGGTATTGGGTTATGTGAACTTACTGGAGCTTTCTTATCAATTGGTTTGATAATAAATTTCTTATCATTGAAGGAGATATTTCTAATTTCACTCCAAGGAAACCCAATCTTTGGAGTCAGCCTAAGAGAAAAAGAACATTTTTTGAATATAGCATAATAATGATAAAAATATTTGCATGAAGTAAAAGTAGCATTAAAGTGATTACTGTTTTTGGCATTCTATAGTAAGAAACCATAACTTGTGCAGAGAGCAGCATTGTGAGAGGGACCAGTATGCCAACCCAGTACAGGTTTTCTGCAGACAACAGGAAGGGTCTGAAAAAGATCACTCCCCCTACAAGATGGAACAGCAGTGACTGGTCTTTATTACAGAAAGCTTCAGCACAGAGGCAAAGTTTCATACTGGATTACTCTGCATTAATCATTCACATGTTTTTAGACAACATTCAGCTTTAATAACCCTTAAATGATTGCTCTGACTCTTAACTCATAAAGTATGACCCTGAACCTACCTTTTAGAGCCAGTTCACACATTTGCGAATTGGATGCGTTTTGAACCGCATTCAATTCGCATGACACGTGAAAGAACATTGCTTTCTATTGTGCCTGTTCATATAAGTCTGGTGCAGCCGGAGTGCGGATTCAGTGTAAATTGAAAAGGAGTCCTGAGTTTTCCAGGTCAGCTGCAAAATCATTGATTTCTAGTGGAATGCTTCTGAATCGCATATATCATTCAGTTGAGAGCAGGATAAAATCCTGACCTGATCCTGTTCTAAACCCGATCTGAAATGCTGAACAACTACTTTGTCAGTTAGCTGTGAAAAACTGAGCTTCAATTCACACCGCACATGTGTGAATCAAAACTTAAAATGTCATCTTATCTTTCAACCCAGGCCATTCTAACAGTAGATACTTACTGGTCCACTTTCAGTTCATGGGCCCTCCACTAGTTTATTAGGATCATGTGTGTGGACATCATACACAGGTGTTTGTGTTTTTGCTTCTTTGGTGCATTTGTGAAGCATTTTTGAAGGATTTGAAAAGAAACAGCTTTTTACTATATTTTGGCAAAGTTATAATAATACTATATATACCTCGAATATTTTTTTTGGTTTTTTTTTTGGAACTGTACACCAAAAATAAAATAATTGCTAGGTGGTATAATTTTTTTTGGCAGAAGAAACATTCAAAATCTCTTAGGCCCCATTTACAATTGCTGTGATTCTGCCCATGATTGCAAATTGTGGTAAAACACGTGATGCATGTTTAGGTGCCATTATTCTTAAAGGCACCCTAAATGCAGTGTGGCTCACCATTTCTAGGATATCACAATGAATTAAATAGCTGTAGAACAGCCAGTTATACCCCTAATCACTTTTGGTTTACAGGTGATACTGGGACAATAGCCAGAAATGTGCTTGGCAACAAGTGTAAAGAAAGTCACAATGGAGATTAAACTTTCCTAAAAACCATGATGGTGCCAAGTTATGTTAGAGACCTGCAATTAAGAGACCTAAAAAACATATTGGAAAGCTGCACTGTTTAGCCTCCTAATGCTTTCTGAAAACAGCCCTCTATATTCTTAAGGGAGATGTTAGGCTACAAATTCCAGGAATTCAGGTGTCTGACCTATCAACTTACAATAAGCAGAAATTCACATGCTGCACACACAAGGTAATGTTGTAGAGCTAGCTGGTATTGGGTGTTCCAAACAGGAAAACTTTTCTTCTGATCAGTCCTTTACTTTGTTGGATGAAGCAGCTTGAAAAACCTGTTTGTGTCTCCATAGTGACACTGTAGGGTTCCAGTATTTCAAATAATGAAAAAAATACTGGCAGTTTCTGTTACGTAACCTACAGACAGGCACTCCTTGTTTCTCCACAGGGTGGAATCTGCAAGGTTGGCAGCTTACAAAAGAGTGACTTCATGTACTCCTTTCTATTTCTCTAGACAGGACAGGGCTAACCACACCTTGTGCCTTACAGAGCTGCTGCTGCTACTCAAGCACTTCACCAGAGGGCCCCCCCCCCCCCCCAAATATCCTTCCAGTTATGATACCACTAAAATATAGCCCTATGCTCCATTCTTTTTTTTTGTTATTTTCACTTTTAAATGTTAGGTCCTTGTGCTTTTCCCAAAATATATAGGGTTCGATTGACTAAAGGATATTGCATGTGATACTTGGGCCACATAGGCAAATATTGCATGTGATAATGAAAATGTTCAGTACAGGTTTTGGCAGTATTTACTGCAAAAATAAGAAATACTCGGTAAATACTGCATAAACCCATCTGAAAGTCAATTCACAAACACAAAAAAGGAAAAAAATACATTTGTTAAATAAGTTGTGCTCTAGCCATGTGCTGTTTAACAAATATATACAATTACTAGCTGGTTGTTAAGGAACTGCCTCCTGACAGCATCCTTAAAGGAGAAGAGAAGTATGACCAAAGCTATTTTGGCCCTACTGCTACAGATCACAGGTGTGCACTTCATTCTGCACTCCTGTGACCCATTTTCAGCTAAAGATCACTGTCGGTTGACATCACTCAGCTGGTCCAGGCTCAGCAAAGAAGGTCGGGATCCACCCAGCTGCCTGGACTGGCAGGTGGCTCGGCCTCTCAGTGACTGTGCTCACCTGTTCCCTCCTCTTGCCCAATCACAGAGAGCTTTATAATAATTGAACTTATTCACAGATCTTTATTTTGTTTTTTTACTTTTTGGTAAAAAAAAAGTGAAGCCCAGCCCCTACCTAAATGTCATTTGCCTAGGCAAATGGCGCGTGAACTGTCCTCCCTTTACCTACTGGGATATGGGACAATCATATCCCAGAAAGCAAAGTGCTTCATTCAGAAAGGGAGGGAGGCATGTCAAGCGCTGCATAACCAGGAGGCACACTGCCTGAACCAGGAAGAGCCAACAGGCCTCTTGAAGATGTAATCATCAATATGGCGGCGCGGGACTAAGAGGTGCCAAAGAACAAGAGGATCTCACCTGAACAACGCTGGATTCTCTGGGTGGGCATCAAAAACCTTCACAATGAGCCACCCAATAAGCAGGAGGGATGGGAGGGCCAAGGGGTGGGGGGTGGCATGCGGGGGTCTGCTTAACTCACCATATATCAGCACATTTTACAAAGTGCCTGAATTCTTGGATTTCAGCTTTAAAATGACACTATCTAGTGCTTTTTTTAATGTGACACTGAACAATTAACAAACAATATAAAGTAAAATTAGTTATGGGTGGGAACAGTAAAAAGGAGTTAATTGAGGCCGGTAGGGAAAACTAAGGTTAGTAAGGGGTTAAAAACACACAATTGAAAATAAACTTTCTTTTTTTTTTTTTTTAATAACAGAATTTTTTTTCATGTCAGATTGCTTTAACTAACATCAATATGCATATCAAAGCTCATTCCTTTGATGTGTTTGAATGGAACCAGAGTAGATTAAAAAGTAAGGTTTGTTTACACTTGCAGCAAGGAGGAGGGTAAAACAGGTGGCTGAGCCCACCTTAAAATTACATGGCAGGTAGATGAAATTGTACACATGCTGCAACTGCAAAGCTTTGCTCACTGAACGTGACCAGAGAGCTAAATGCTAGACTTGCAGTTTAGTATTCCTATTTAAAAATCCTTTCCATGGTAAAAAAAAAAAAAAAAAAAAAAAAAAAAAAAAAAGGCACAAGGTGGCAGTATCATCTATTGAATGCCTGTCAGCAGCTGCTGTACTGTTCTCTGAAAAGCAATCCACCAGAATCACTTTTCAGAGATCAAAGCAAGTTTTCCTCTAGAGCGAGCAAAATCCTCTCTTGTATTAAAATAGGTATAGACTCCATAGAGAGAGATATCATATTACCCCTGTACAAATCATTAGTAAGACCTCATCTGGAATATGCAGTTCAATTTTGGGCACCAATTCACAAAAAGAACATTGGAGAACTGGAGAAAGTACAGAGAAGGGCAACCAAACTGATATGAGGCATGAAGGAGCTCAGCTATGGGAAAAAATTAAAGGAACTGAATTTATTCTCTCTTGAGAAGAGGAGATTAAGGGGGGATATGATCAACATGTATAAATACATCAGTGGTTCATATAGTGAACTCGGTGTAGAGTTATTCACCCCGAGGTCATCACAGAAGACAAGGGGGCACTCTTTACATCTCCAAACACGGAAAGGTTTCTTCACAGTGAGAGCTGTGGTAATGTGCAATAGACTCCCTCAAGAGTTGGTTCTGGCCAGCTCAGTGCATTGCATTAAAAAAGGCCTGGATTCTTTCCTAGATACACATAATATAACTATTGATGCAAAAAATAAGTAAAGTTGGTCCAGGGAATATCCCATTGCCTCTCGGGGGATAAGAAAGGAAATTTTTCCCCTGAAGGAGCAAATTGGATCATGCTTTGCTGGGTTTTTTTTGCCTTCCTCTGGACCAACTGTGGGTATAGGATTATAACTTAAGCCCTTACAGAGTTACTTTGTATCTCTAAACAATGTTTATAAACACTATGTCAGATGGCTTACTTTTTGAAAGCAGCAGCTTCTACAACTGCTGTGGTTACATAGCAACTCCCAGATATCCATTTTGACAGTGGGGAACTGCTGACAAGTGCAAGGGCAGGAGAAGCTGAGGGGCAGGACTGGGTGCACTTCAGATGTCTTGTGTACTTGAACAAAATTATTTGGTTGTCTGTAGTATATCCAGTGTCCACAAATGGTTAGCTCTGGTCTGGGAGTGTGGAATACAGATGTCAATGGGATTTAACACTAAAGGGCTGTAGCTCTATACAATAAAACAGTGCAGAAACTTTTTAAGGTTTCTTGAAACTTTCTCCTCAAACTTCTTTCATAAAGCACAGTTTTGTGAAGTGTTCAAGGTACCTGGTGGAATGATTCTCCATTTCAGCTGTAAATCTCTGCAAGATGTTAAGTGTTACCACTGGCTTCTTGACTTTTGTTTGGATAATGCATCTTTACCAAGTCACTAAAGTTGATGAACAGTCTTCTCACGGCAGTGTCACTGTTGAGCCATAATAATGGATTGAAACCTAAAATGTTTAATCTGTTGATTTCTGGCCTTCCTTGATGTCCCCCTCCCTTTCTCATCAACATGCCAATTAATTTTAAAATAAAACCCTTTTTGTTTCATTACATATTTTATTTTAGACTCCATCAATGGGTCTCTGTGCTTCTCTACGCAATGCAGGCAGATTGTGTTTTGTGGGAGGGGCCGGTAGGGTGCTCCTTGAAAACATCACAGCACCTTGCCTTTGCAGTCCTCTCAAGAGCCCGCAGCCATGATGAAAGCAGTGGGCTGTTCTCTTGAGAGGAGTTATGCAAACATCAAAATGCCTTGATGGGTGGATATCAATATGGAGGAGTAGGCATTCCTAGGCAGACTGCATTTACACGCAGACCATTCTAGGTAAAACACACATGTGATGCTGAGCCTCCATGATTGAAACAACTGAAATCTATTGAATTATAGGGGTAGGCTAGGGGCAGTAAAGCTGGGGAAAACACGACTAAATTATGTTGGATGTACTCCAGCCAGGAAATGAGGTGGGTTCTGTCTGACTTGCTGCAAATTCTAAGTGTACTGTGAGAAGGTGACAGTGTACAATGAAATCAAAGTAAGCAATTTCAGTGGTGCAGGAATGGAGCCTGTACAACTGTGCAAGACTGAAGAAAAGGCTGGAGTTCAGATTTAATACTGCCCCAGCGTGTGCTCAAAGTTTTGGATATTTTTTGCTACTGAACCCAATCCTTGACTTATACTGATAAGTAATCTATCTTTAGGATTATGTTGCTTAGATGTGTTGTCTATATGCCTTTAAGAAACAGGAATAACTGAGATTATTTAATACTTTCATAGAACACATGTGAATTCCATTCATACGGTTACTTTCATTATGGTCGGTTTAAGATGATCACACATTATAATTTAACTATAAATTTTCTTTAGATTTACCAACAGCTGTGTAGTATGAAGGCCTACCTAAACAATCAAGCAGGCCTTTCCAATACATAATTGTGGTAAATTTGTATCTAACAGAGATTACACAATAAGACTGTAATGTGTGGGACCAGCAATGGAGGTTACCCAGCAAAGGAGGTGAGTTCTTATGCAATCAATGCCTTTCTGTTCATAGCATTGAAATTATTTTTTTTTACTTCAACAAGTGTAGATCAGTAACAGAAAATGCCATCTTAAGGCAGACCATAGACGAATTTTGGAAAGAAATTCACAGGATTCTCCCATCAACACAGACCGTGCTGACAGGGGAATCCCTCCTGCTGTGCAATTGTTGTGGGGATCCCTATGATTAACCCCTGCGGGGCAGAGTGAAACACGTTGTGGGCGTGACCTGGTGGGAGCACAGCGTGAGACTGACATTCATTTCAATACCAGCGGGTCTGCATAGATGAGCGGCTTCATGGGATTCATCCTTCGCTTAACAGTTGCTTGGAGCGGAGACAAGCTCCTTCTCTGGACTGCACTCATAGTGGTCGACACAGGATTGCTTTCCCTTGTAGCCTGAGCGGCACATATTTTCCATTACCAGTTCACAGGGAGAAGACAGTGATTATTGCTAGTGGCTATAGCAGCCACTAGCGATAATCGCAAGTGAATCTAGCAGGTTGGTTGTACCCAAGTTGACTGATCGATGGGTGTGACTATGAAAAGGACTGTAAAATGATAAGTAATAAATCTTTGTTAAAATCTGAACCAAAGGAAGCTTTAATAATAGCCTTAAAGGTATATATAAGTATAGTACTGAGATCATAGTATTTCATATCGTACAAACTCCAAGCACATTTTCAACAAGGACAATCTGGCTTTTTCAGATCAACTGGCCAGTCCAAAATCAGTCAAACAATCCAGTGCATGCTTGATTACTTACTTGTCTTCGTGTTCATAAATATTTAAGCCCAGTGAGTCAACTCCCAGCCAGAGGTCTGTTCCCTTTTTATTCTTAATATCAAAGTAGTTGATGCCATACATCTCTAAGTCTTGAGCTATCTTCAGGTATTCCAGCATTGCATCTTCTCTATAGGTTCATGAAAATGAAAAATCAGTATATGGTTACAGTGCAATATCTCTAAGATATAATCCCTACTAATTCCCCTGAATTTCTCACCTCAACTACTCTAGCATCATCCTGTCCAGTTTTTCACTATTTGGACTCTCAACTCTACTATCCATCATGAATGCTACTACAGGACATACCTATCCTTCCACCACTCCTTATATGCTACCCCTCTCTGCCATTTACTTAGAGGAAAATCTCAGTCTATATAAGTCATGTTTTACCATTGTAATATGGAGAGCCCAAGATCACTAGCCAGCCGCTTCTAAATATAAAGTCTTTATTGGTCTCTCAAAACAAGCAAACACAAATAATCAAGGACCAAAAATTGGCTCACCACCAGTACCTTGGTCCCACAATTAGGTTTAGGGGTCCAACCTGGTTAAGGGTACAAGATGAGCTGTGGGAGCTCAACAAAACAGTCTCAGTTGTTAAACAGCTCAAACTTTCTCACAGTTGTGTACTACTCCACTTCACTTCATAGACAGGTGCTGACTACTTGCTACTGCTTTTTCAAACCTCCCTTGTAGGTGGGTTAACCCTTTCAGGATCAAAGTCCCTATACTCACGGTTTGGGGGCTTTTTCCCATCCAAAGTCCCTCTCAGCCTCCAAATTCTGGGTCCCAAATGAGGACTTACCAATCTAGAAAGTATCAGTCGTCTCCTCTTTGACTGAACTACCCCAGAACCCCTTACTGTGCATGGATCAGAACCGCTGAGTACTAAAAAGGTCTCTTGAATTCTCCCTTAAAGGAACCACAACCTAAATAGTAGGGAAATATATCTCCCATGCAGGACACATTCCTGGCATTCTGTATACCATATAATCCAATTCCATTCAGTTCAGTCACTGCTATCTGTATAAATACTAATAACAATAATATAATATCAAAGATATAAAATATCTAAAAGTGGTTCAGAAGATCACCCAAACCCCACCTACGTCAGGCTGTACATAGAACAGATGGACAGGACCCCAATCTCTCTCTCAAATGGTTCACTGAACCTTGTAAACAACAATTCTGCAGTGCAAAACACCTCGTAAGGAATATGTCCAATTCAGACACTATGTGCTTGGCAATGAAAAGAACTGCTTGGGTACAACATGGAGCTATTGGAGTTAATGAACCCTATAAGCAGCAAGGGGGGGTAGATCCAGCTATGCACAACGAAGTCTAGTGCAGCTTGGGGAAACCCCTTTTTGAGCTACCTAGAAGACGTCTAAAAGAAAAATATCAAAGCAGGACTAAATTCTATCTAGATCAAATCTATTTCCACTACATAACATATTTTATTTTTTCTTTACCCTACAATGACAATAAGAACTGTGATACTTGGCTATCTGCAGCCCTTGCCTCTCTCTGACTATCTGCATTGGAACACAACACTCTGCAACAACTATTTCAGGCTATATCCTTTGTATTGGAAAGAACTGATAATCAGCAACTCTACAAACATTGGGTATAAAGCACCCACCTCAAAATCAGTAGTCTGCTGACGTGTATACTGTACTTATAATAGGCCTCAGTTTCCTCTGCTTCGCCTTAATGCCTGGGCATTCTCATCAGGTGAACCTTCAGCACTTCCTCATGGTACTGAAATTTGCCTGTTCACTCAATCATGTTGCCCAGTGTGCCAGTGAGGCAGTTCATCAAGCAGAGATTGAAAGTGTAGCTTTGCCTTATCAGAATGCAAAGGCATTTGGGTAAAGCAAAGACACTGAAACATGCTGAAGGTATCTGCTTCTTGATGCTTGCACTTCATACCTGTTAGAAGCTTTTGCTATCCTTTCAGTGACTGTGGTCTCCATTCACAAAGCGGTATCTTACCGCATGCGAGTATGTTTTTCAATGAAAAACAAAGTCTTTTTGAATTTCCCTTCACTTCCTGTCCCATAACCAAACAGGAAGTGAGAGGAAATCCCTGCAAATAAAGGTAATTCCTTGGGGTCCCCCAGGTCAACAGAACTAGTGTACCTATTGGAAGAGCCTCTATTACTTTTCAGGGGACAACCCAAAATGTGGGATTTTCTTTTTCACTTGGTAAACAGGACAAGTAGAGAGGGGGTATCTCCCTAATGGGGGCACAGACAGCAAAAAAAAAAAAACTAGCAAGCATTCTAATTTCTCTCCACTCTATCCAAAACTGAAAAAAAAAGTTTTGTCTTTAGTTCTACTTTAATGGCAACAGTAACTGACATCCTTAACAGTGTAAATAGCTGGTTATTAAAGAACATCCCTAACAACCAGTAAACAACACAACCACTGGACAGGGTTGTGGGGAAGAGGCCCTTGTCCTCATCAACATGGGAACAAGGCGCTTTGGGAGGGGGAAGGGGAGCCCCCGCCTCAAAGCACACCACCCCTCTTCATGCAGAAGGTTGTTTTTTTCAACAAATTTGAAATGTTGGCAATTCTTTTCTTTACATTCAGCTGTCAGTGAGAACCCCGCTGATAGCTGATGACTCATCAGTTGTTAAAGATGCGCCAGCCACCCGCTCCTTAATAACCATGTTGTTTACTGGTTCTTAAGGGCTCCACCGGCTGCCTGCTCCTTAACAACCAGTTAAAATCATACATGTTCCTTAAATACTGCATGCCTGGACCACTACTTTATTACTGCATGCACTTAATTATTTATTTCCTAATGTGAGTTGAGTTAATCGCATGTTTATGTGGTATTTACAGAGCATTTGACAGTTTGAAGATTGTATCCGATAGTTAGGAAAAATGTGTCTGGGCACCTAAATACCGCATGTGAGATGCTTTTGTGAATAGAGCCTAATGTCTCTATAAATGTTGAACAATTACTGACACAAGTCAGTGGTAGTGTGTAATGTGGGCAAATGGTCATCGTTCCTCCATTCAGAAATCTAATGTCATGGCACTAATGCTGCTATGGAGGCAAAGTAACATTTTATACATGAATTTGTTATACATTTAAATGATCTATTTGTGATGTTTTGCACTAGCATTATCCTTTTAGTGATGCTTGATGGAATACTTGCAAACTCCACTTTGAACCCGTTCATTGCTAAATTAGTTGGTGGCTGCACAACTAGTAGAAGCACTTTAATAATTCCTCATGCAGTTCTAAAAGGAAACCTAGCAAACAAGACTCATTAGCTGTCACTGCTTTACAGTGATCCCCTAATTATGTGGTATTGATGGGAATAATGTACAAAAACATTTTTTTAAAGACATATATGGAAAAGGGAAAAGTTGAAATAAAAAGAATATTTGTTCTGCAACAATTGTTGCACTGTATAATAATTGTGTCTTCTTGTTTATGGAGAGTTATGGCGTGGGACATACATACATATTGGTAATGTGTACTTGTGTATGTGGAACAAGGGAACAGATGTTTGGGCTGAGTAATGTACAAACCACAAAACCAAACTCACTTGAGCATTCCGCGGTGCTCCGTGTGTGCCACACCTCAATCCTCTCTTCCCACTGCTCTCTTGAAAGTTTGTGCTGATCCAACACTCTAGAAACACATGATACATGGACAGTAATTTCACAGACTAGTTTTCCATAACTGAACAATAATGTAAAGTGCACCTGTGACCTGCCCATGCAGGGCAAAGCAACAGGTTCATATTAATGCTTGCAACTACTTAAATCTACATTCCCTCTTCTGTCAACACTGTTCATTCAGGTAAGTGATATTAGGTTATAAAGAGTGTGTTATTTATTGGCATTCCTCCTAAATGCCAACACGGGTGATTGGCCACTCACATACCCATTGCTGTCACATGGGGGTGGTGAGAGGGTCTTCAGTCTTGTGTAAACTTCGACTGAACCTTTCACATGACATCCTTGGGATCCTAACAGCCGCATGTGTGCAAAGAAAGTATAAGCATCTGTAGGGGCCTGGCATTAAAATAAACTTGTTGCTATCTCATTTAATTTCACTGGCGTTTATGTATGGGATTCCATAAATTATTGCAATATCTAAAGTTGAATTCCAGCTTAATCACCCTCGCCCCCCAACCCCTACATCTGCAAAACCATTTTAACCGCCTTGAAGCACCCTTGCATTGTTTAAAAACTATTTAAAAAGACTGTTTTTTTTTGTTTTGTTTTTTAAGTCTTCATTCAGGTTGCATGATTTCACAGGTCCTCTACAGCCAGTGGTGGGTGGCCACAGAATGATACAAATGTAGGGTCACATAATAATTTTGAGGCTGGAGGGTGGGTTCTTGACAGTCTGGGCTCATAGGAAGTGTACAACCTGTCATTCCATTCAAAGGCTGAGTAGCACTGGACCTCAGAGAGGAATTTCTGTAGGGCAAAGCCCTGGAGAGAAGATAAGAACTGAAGCGAATGCTGTTTTTTTATTTCCAAGCGAAAGCGGAAATTTATATTTAATACAACGTTGAAGTTCCACTTTGAATAAAACTTTGGGACTTCATAATATCTATGGTGACCTGCATATTTCTGCACTGGATAAACATAGGTAACCACTAGGGCAAAGAAAAAACAATCATTTTCTCTGTGCCCTGTTCACACCATAACACTGGGGAGATGTGCACTGCAACATATCTGCATTTTTCTGCAGCACACTGGATGGCACAGGACAGCAGCCAACGCACCTCGCTGCTGTGACATGAATTCACTCAAAGTGCAGGCTTGTGTGAACCTAGCCTAAACTAAAAACCTCTTTAACTGCCCGAAAAGTTTATATTTTCTTGCTTTTTCTGTGGCTAGGAAACTGTTTAATGTGATTATTGGTGTTACTTGTTTGTGTGCTTACCTTTGTGGCAAAAGACGTTCTGTGCTCAGATATCCAGATTTGTGGATATCTTTGCTATAATCTCCAAATTTGGCTTGTACAGCATACGATCCAAGAAGGACAGCTGTCTCAGGAGGGCAGTACACTTCATCACTCAGTATACTTTCTTTTACTTGCAGGAAGAACAGTTTCTGTGTGATCTCCTGAATCAGTTCCTCAGACACATCCTCAGGGAAGAACTTGGCACGGAATTTGAACTGAAGTGGGTTTTCTTTCCTGACTTCCTGTGCTGATACCTATACACCACAGACACAAAAGTAAAGGATATCAATATACATTTACTTCAAGACAAGGGTTTTCAGTGGACTGTGGGATGTATATGGAGACGCAGCCAAGCAGAGCAGCTTGCTTCATAGCTACCATTGTCTGGCAGAAACATTCAACTATTTGGCTATCCTGGTAACTCATCCATGTTCTGTAAACAAGAAAGCTCTTTCAGCACACCTAAAAAGTAACGGTGCTATTGTTGTGAAAAATACACTATAGCTCCATCTGTTGGCTGGCAGAAAGACTTTTTGCTATTAATATGCAATAATTACTTGCTGAAAACATTGCCAGTTCACACTGGGATTTATACGTGAACACGCTGTACGTTTCTGTGCAAGTCACTTAAAGTTCAGTGCAGTGCAGTTTCAGCCCACTCATTTTGAATATGTGAAATCACAACACACCAAAAGTAGTGCCTGTACTACTTTTGGAAAACTCACTGTAACCAGATCACATGGTACTTTTCTACCATGCGATTTGGTGTGGGCAAATACACTGCGTTTGCGACCTGCATTTGGGGTGTCATTAACTTAACCACATGCCGCCCAGCCACTGTAGAAATACGGAGGCAGGGCGGCACGATTTAAAACGTGTGTTTGCAATGTCCTACCTGTCCCGCCGACCACGGCCGCGGATGTCAGTCGCCGGGTCACAGCCGTTCGTTACCGGCTGTGTCCCACCGATTAGGTCAGAGACAGCTGCAGTAGCTTTGCTTTCTGTCAGTTCCCTGTCAGCTCCTGACATGCTGAGCCGGAGAGAAGAGTTTCTCTCTCCCGATCAGCTGTCCCCCCTGCAGTACACACCCCCACCCCCTAGTAAAACACTCCCCTCACTCAGTTAACCCTTTCAGTAAATAAAAAGGTTAACCCCTTCCTCCCCAGTGCCATTAGTACAGTGTCAGTGTTTTTTTTTTTGCACTGATCACTGTATTGGTGTCACTGGGGATGTCAGTGACCCCAAGTCAGTTTCCCCCCCAGTGTCAGAATGTCCGCCGCAGTCCCGCCATAAGTCGCTGATCGCCACCATAAGTCGCTGATTGCTGCATTATTATTATTATTATTATTATTATTCAGTATTTATAAAGCGCCAATAGTTTCAGCTGTACATACAAAAAAAAATTGACAGAACAATACCAAAAATGCAAAACATGAGTATCTTTCCCGCCATCTTTTTCTAAATGCTATAACTTTCACATAAACCAATTAATTTACACGTATTGTTTTTTTTTTTTTTAGCAAACGACATGTTGCAGAATGCATTTTGGCCGAAATTTAATTTTATTTTTTTTTTACTGGACATGTTTTATAGCAAAAAGTCCAAAATATTGTTTTTTTTCTCAAAATTGTCAGCCTTTTTTTTTTATAGCGCAAAAAAAAAAAAAAAACGCACAGGCGATCAAATACCACTGAAAGAAAGCTCTATTTTGTGTGAAAAAAAAGGACACAAATTTAATTTATGTACCGTATTGCATGACCGCGCAATTGTCAGTTAAACTAGCACAGCGCTGTATAGCAAAAAAGTCGTAAATTGCAGTATCTATACCATAGTTTGTAGACGCTATAACTTTCACACAAAGCAATCAATATACACTTATTGGGATTTTTTTTTTACCAAAAACATGTAGCAGAATACATTTTGGCCTAAATTTATAACAAACTTTGAGTTTATTATATATTTTATATAGCTGAAAGTAAAAAATAGCGTTTTTCTTCAAAATGTTTGGTCGCACAGGTGATCAAATACCACCAAAAGAAAGCTCTATTTGTGTGAAAAAAAGGACGTAAAATTTCGTTTGGGTGCAGCATTGCATGACCGCGTAATTATCAGTTGAATTAGTGCAGCGCCGAGTAGCAAAAAGAGGCCTGATCATTAAGGGGGGTAAATCCTCAGGAAGGCAAGTGGTTAATATTGACACCTGCTGCAGATCGGACCTGCAGTGCGTTTTGAACGTGGTGTGGGAAACCTGCATTACATGCAGGTTTCCCACACCATGTTCTAATGTGAACTGGCCCTTAGACTTGACTATATCACATAAGACCAGATGAATAAGATAGGATAAGATGATAAACAAGTACACATCCAATATAAATTCTCAGACTGCATCATTTATGCACTACGAGTCATAAAAAAAGACCTTTTTTACTCCAATAGGTCGGCTATTGCATGCATGTTGCTATCTCTGTTGTAGGGCTGAAACAACTATTCGCCATAATCGATTATAATCAATTGTGAAAATAATTTTCAACTATTTTCATTATCGATTAATTGATCAGCCAATTCATTATCCTGCATACAGAATGCAATATATTTACATATTAGAAAATACAGTATAGCAAACATACAGCTCAGTACATAATTCATAAATATTAGTTTACACCGTGCAGCATACATACAGCTCAGTACACTTGTCCAAACATGTCAGTAAGTGCCTGAAAACTTGTGAATGTGTGAGGAGCAATGCCTCGTGGGACATGTAGTCCAGTGCAAGGGAAGTAAGTGATTTAAAGTGAATCTAAAGTGCCTTGCTATAGGGGCACCCTGAAGGAAGGAAGGAAGAGCCAGAAACGCTGGCACAGAATCCCAGATGAGGGAAATTGGGGCTACCCGATGCACTACCATTACAAAGAGTAGGTAAGCTTTATATATATATATATATATATAAATGTTACAATTACTTTAAAGCCCTCCAGAGGATTTACCCCCCTTCCTGACAAGGCCATTTTTGGCGATATAGCACTGTATTACTTTAGCACGGTCATGCAATGTTGTGCATAAATTTAATTTATCTCCTTTTTTGCCCATAAATAGAGCTCTCTTTCGGTGGTATTTGATCACCTGTGCGTTTATTTTTTGTGCTATAAAAAAAAAAGATTTACAATTAAAAAAAAAAAAATATTTTGGAGTTTTTGCTATAAAACATATCCAGTAAAAAAAATTAAAAATAAAAGTTCTTCATAAATTTAAGCCAAAATGTATTCTGCTACATTTCTTTGCTAAAAAAAAAATTCCAATACATGTAAATTAATTGGTTTACGTGAAAGCTATAGCATCTACAAATGGTGTTATATATACTGGAATTTTTATTTATTTCTTTTTACTAGTAATGGCGGCGATCAGCGACTTATTGCTGGACTGCGGTGGGAATTGTGACACTGGGTGGGAACTGATAAACTGTCACTGACATCCCCAGTGACGCTAATACAGTGATCAGTGCTAATAAAAGCATCGACACTGTACTAATGACACTGGGCAGGAAGGAGTTAACATCTGGGGAGATCAAAGGGTGTGTTGTGTCTTACTGTGTGTGTGCTGTGTGTGTTTTACTATGTAAGCATGATGCTTTGTATTGCTCCGCTCTGTATTCCCATTTAAAATACCCATTATATTCTACTTCTGAGTGTATATACATATATATATATACTGCTAAAAAAAAATTAAAATTAAAGTAACACTTTGAAAACACATCAGATCTCAATGGGGAAAAATATCATGCTGGATATCTATACTGATATGGACTGGGTAATGTGTCAGGAATGTAAGGATGCCCCATCGTTTGATGGAAATGAAAATTATCAACCTACAGAGGACTGAATTCAAAGACACACAGAAAATCAAAGTGAAAAAATTATTCAGCAGGCTAGTCCATTTTGCTGAAATTTCATTGCAGCAACTCAGAATGGTACTCAGTATTTTGTATGGCCCCACGTGCTTATATGCATGCCTGACAACATCGGGGCATGCTCCTAATGAGATGACGGATGGTGCCCTGGGGTATTTCCTCACAGATCTGGACCAGGGCATCACTGAGCCCCTGGACAGTCTGAGGTGCAACCTGGCAGTGTCGGATGGACAAAAATATGATATCCCAGAGGTGTTCTATTTGATTTAGGTCAGGCGAGCATGGGAATTCCTTCATCCTCCAGGAACTGCCTGCATACTCTTGCTACATGAGGCCGGGCATTGTCATGCAACAGGAGGAACCCAGGACCCAATGTACCAGCATAGGGTCTGACAATGGGTCCAAGGATTTCATCCGATACCTAATGGCAGTCAGGGTGCCATTGTCTAGCCTGTAAAGGTCTGTGGGCCTCTCCATGGATATGCCTCTCCAGACCATCACTGACCCACCACCAAAACGGTCATGCTGAACGATGTTACAGGCAGCATAACATTCTCCACAGCTTCTCCAGACTCTTTCACATCCAGGGGCGGACTGACCATTTGGAAACTCGGGCACTGCCCGAGGGCCCGGGGTCAGTAGGGGGCCCCATGAGATGCCACTGGTACCTTTTTCATAGGCTTTTTTGAGTTTGGGCAAGGACACAGGGGCCCCATGAACCCCTATTGCCCGGGGGGCCCCATGAGTTGTCAGTTTGCCCCTGTTCACATCTGTCACGTGCTCAGGGTGAACCTGCTCTCATCTGTGAAAGGCATAGGGCGCCAGTGTTGGACCTGCCAATTCTGATGTTCAATGGCAAATGCCAATCCAGCCCTATGGTGCTGGGCAGTTAGCACAGGGCCCACTAGAGGACGTCAGGCACTCAGGCCACCCTCATGAAGTCTGCTTCTGATTGTTTGGTCAGAGACATTCACACCAGTGGCCTGCTGGAGGTCATTTTGTAGGCACTGGCAGTATTCATCGTGTTCCTCCTTGCACAAAGAAACATATACTGGTCCTGCTGATGGGTTAAGGACCTGCTATGGCCCTGGCCAGCTCTTCTAGAGTAACTGCCTGTGAGACTGTGCTGGGAGACACAGCAAACCTTCTGGTAATGGCACACATTAGATGTGACGTCCTGGAGGAGTTGGACTGCCTGTGCAACCTCTGTAGGGTCCAGGTATCGCCTCTTGCTACCAGCAGTGATACTAACCCTAGCCAAATGCAAAACTCAGAAAAGATGAGTAGGGAAAAAAATGTCAGTGGCCTCAACTTGTAAGACCATCCCTGTTTTGGGGGCCATCTCATTGC